GGCCCATGGGCGGCCGGCGGAGGGCGCGGTAGGCCGAGGGCACCCGCCGCGGGAATGAAACCAGCGAGGGCGGCACCGGGGGCGTAAGGGTTTATTTAATGCGAGCTCCCCTGGTTGAAACTGTACATCCCGTGAGACAGACTCGTCATTAATTCCAATCACCGTACTGGGCAGAGGAAAGTCACAACAAAGTAAGCGAAAAAAACCCCACAAAACCTGCTGAATAAATACATACACCTTTTCGACAGCTTCTCAACGATTGGCCTATCAAGTCCCTTCATTTGGTAACAGATAGTTCTAGATTTCACATAACAATATTTATTACTCTTTTGCTTTTCAAACCGATTGTCCCTGCCTGGATTTTTCTCCCTTGGGCACGCCTGAGTGTGTAGGCTTGAAACAGACCTAAAAAGCATGTGGAAAGCATCAGAAAAAGGTCTGTGTCACCTTCCCCAGGTCCATTCAAATTGCATAAAGTCCCCAGCCAGAATTCACACCTCTAAAGCTATTCTGCCTGCATTAATGTGACCCATCCTAGACGAAGGGGCTCTATACCTGACAGCAGAAGCTGGAGACACGGAGAGCTAAGATTTTTTTTTTTTTTTTTTTTTTGCAAGGACAGTCATGACGTGAATTTACTGCTTGTGAAACACACGGGTCTGGCTGAACCAGAGCATAATGGTGTCTGATAAGCAGAGCAGGTATCTCACAGGCAAAAAAGGTTTCTCCCCTTCCCTCTCTAACCATGGGCCATAGACAGATTTTTATACTATCAGCTCACCACAGTCTCTCAGCTCTTTCCAACCACTCATTTCTATCTTCAACCCCACTAGAAAACTGTCTGCAGTGGAGTGTTTTGGTTTGAAATCTCAAATAATAGAAACACTGATTAATAATTTCCTCTAAGTACCAGAGAACAGCTCTTTGATGGCCCATTCAACTTAGATGCAAAGAAAATTATCAAAGCAATCTCTGAGAACTGGAATGAGGCCAACAAAGACCAATGGGGCTTCTGGGTTGTTACCCAGAGACTGATTAGAGCTTTTGACAATTTTAACATGGGATAAAACAGAGACAATTCAACAGTGGAGCCCTCCTGACTGATCTATTTGTTCTCAGCCTTCCATGTCTTAAATTTTATCTACGCATACCAACATGGTTTGGGTATGCATGCTCCTTTTAACTGCAGTAATAGAAGACAGGGAAGCTATCTTTTATCTCTTCAGTCTAATCCCAGAGGTAAAGTATCATTAGTGGACCTTCATTTAGCTAAGTGGAAGCACCTATATTGCCACTGCTGCTACTCTGAACTTTGTGATATGCTTCCAAGGACTGCAAAGAGGTAAGGAATCAGATGATCTTCAGAGCTGCATGTGGTATGACATTTAACTTTTATGACTTGTGGAGTCAGCTCCCTGATTGGTTTATATTTGGAGTAGTATCCAGGAATCATTGTCTAATGTCCAGTCCTGTATATGCTGAATGATGAAAATGGGCTTCCAGCTACTTGGAGAGACAGCTTGTGACTTGCCTCCAAAAAGCTGGATTTCCAGTCCAAGAAAGCATTTTTGTAAAGCCAACCAACCAGTGAAAGTTCAAGTAAATCGCATTTCCAAGAAACAGCGGATGACGGGCAGAATCAAAAATGAAGGCACAAAATCTCCTTCCAAATTCTACAGCAATATTCCTAGATATTACCTGCAGTATCAGAGAGGGAGATCTTCCAGTAGTGGAGTCTTAAAATATTGTTAAAAACCAATATTCAAAGAGCTTTGATCAATGCCTTAGAAACTGTCAACAGCATTCCCTGTTTCCACTCAAAGTCAGCAGTGAGCAGGACCAGGGAAAGGTCCTTCCTGTGAAGCATGGCTCTAAGGGTCAAGAAAGGACACTGCGATATAACGGGTTCCTTTGGTAGTTGGAAGGCCTTCGTGATAGTGAGTCAGGCGTCCTGGATGCATCAGGGTCCACCCTTTCCGTGGAGCTCGAATGGAGCAATTGTAGCGCAGGAACCGGCAGCCTCCTCCCTGATGGAGACAAACCAGACACATCAGCTTGGTAAAAACACCTCAGCGAAAGGGTCTCTGCCTTCTCCTGGCAGCCCTTCTGAAAGGTGTTTGAGGGATCTCCTATGTTCTGATGCATTTAAAAATCTTTTTACCCAAGACCAGTCATTCATTGCAATCGTTAGTGTGAAGAAGCCAGATATGGATAAAGAAAGTTTTCCTCTGCCTGGACTGCTCAAGGGGCTGTACTCCATTCTTGACACACTTGCAAACACTTACCTCATAGTCTATTCCAACTCTGTTCAAAGCAATGTTAATGGTAAAGGTGGAAGCGTCATGATGGGGCATTAAAGAGGGCTGCTCGTCAGGTTTGTAGCGAACCACAAAGGCTAGCTCAAACTGAGTCTGCAGGAGAGAAGAACAAAGTGCACATCTGTTACAGGGCTATAGTAGTCCACGGCTACTGAGTTGCAGAGCTGAGCATAATAATTCAATTGCATCCCACTGCTAAGAGAGAAATGCAACAATAAGACAGGAGAATGTCACTGGGATATTGTCTATTTCCTGATGTGTATACTTATGTCATACTCCAGGGTCAGTTCCTCCACACTGGAAAATAGTATGCATATAGCTAGAGGATTCTAGTAGGCTTTTCACAAAGTTGCAACTGGAGGAGGTGTTGAGCTGACCGCAAGTTGTGATGCTAAGGTATACATACCTTGGTGTAGTATCCTGGGTACAGTTTCTCTGTGATGGGTGCAATATAGTCCAGAAGAAACTTATACCATTCTCTTTCAAAGCCAATTTGGTTCATGTGTATGTCAATAGTTGGGACATTCTCATACCCTCCTTGTATTCTGCTGTCCTGAAATAGCATCATGAAAATACCCGTAAGGATGGGAACCCTGCACTTGTTGGTTCTGGTAACTACAAATAAATATGATGTTTATTTATCAGAATTTCCAGGATGGAAAACTCATTTCAAACAATAATTAAAACCTAAGGTAAACAATATCACCATCGGAAGGGCTGAACACTGTAGCTTCAGGGGACACTAAAGTGGACTCAGAAAAACTAATTCAGATTTAAGAATACGTGCAAAATCACAGAGTTAATCAGGAACAAAAGTATTGCCTCCAGTTTTCTTGTTTAATTGTGGGATCTAATGCCTTCCTACAGGAGGCACTGCTGCCACCAAACATGCAAGGGTAATGGTATGACACAGAAATCAAAAAGCTCCTGCTTTTTCTTACCGTGTTGTCACCTGTGGACCACTGGCCATAATGTTCCATTTCTTCCACCAGCTCATCACAGGCAGTGTCAGTGAATATGGGGAACCAGTACACATCTGGGCAGGGCTGCAGGAAATAGACAGGTGAGAATAGCAGAAACAAGGACAGGTACTCAAGGCAAATGGAGTAAGACTAAACTGACTGTAGATCAAGTCAGTTTAAGTGGAAAGTAACTAACATACTGAGGATAGAAATTTGTCTTGTGATTTATGTGCCCCACTTCCATCAAAGAGAGCTGGAGATGTATTTCTAGAAGAATGATTTGACTCTAAAAATACTTTCAAGGTCATGTTTCCTCTGGAATTCAAAGACTATGAGGCTGAACTCCTTATTCCTGAGAATGACCACAGTGATGATACAAGCATTGTCCTGATGCTAATCTCCTATTCTGATGGATAAGAGTGATGTTTTCTTACCATTTCTACCAATTTCCCTTTCAGAGCTGCTGTGTAGTTTTCATGGATGTACTTTTCTCTCCAGTCCTGCAGTTAAAAGATAAGCAAACCGGTCATTTCTATGGGGCCTGGATAAAGAGGCAATGAAAGGTCAGACACTTGTACAGCAGTATTTCACAGGCTTTGAAGATGCAGATGTTATGAAACACATAAACACCCTCTTTTCAAATTCTGTGACTACATTCTTCACCCCACCTGAGAGACATCGTTATTACAAAGCCCTGGACCTTCCTTATTGGTGAAGCCAGTCATCAAGTCTTCACATGCCACATTGCTAAGCCTGCTGAGCATGCAGGTTCTCTCACCTCAGGATTGCTGAATATTTGCCAGAGGTCATTGTGGAGGTGAGTTGTCTGATAATTCTCCAGGGATAGTATGTGTCCAAACTGATGCCGGTTTGTCAGGTACATAAAGACTCCCTGCAGGACAGAGGGAAACAATCAAGCTTTGTTTCCAGGCCTCACATTTCTGTGAGCCACTAAGAAATACAAGCACTGGACAGTTCTTCACAGATGATGGCTCTGCCCAAGCTGTTCATTTACGCATTCTTTCTCCTGTGGGCCTCCAGTTTAATTCCCACCCTGGGTATGAGGAACTTTGAGAGGTTATAGTCAGAGACGGTAATTCTGTACCTCTTGTCAGCCAGGGTTGGAAGCAGAGGAGAGCAGCTGCCGTGAGATTAGGTTCTTCCTTCTTACCCTGTCAACCCCATTTAGAACACCCCAGAATAGGCACAAGAACAAAAATGTTATCCACATTTAGTGGTCGCTGGCTCTGTGTGGTTTCAGCAAAAAGAGAAATCCCACACTTTCCAAGCCTGCACAGTACTGAATAACGCCAGTTCATCCTGTCCCATGCCCCAGCAAAGCTGAATGCCTTGAAACTACTTAATCTTGTCACCTCCACCCTGGCACGCAGGTCTCCCCTGCCAGCCTCTCTCTCGACTGACCTGATTTCGAACGTTGTGGCAGAAAGCCATGTCAGCATCCAGCTTGCCACTGTGGAAGAGATCTCCCTGGTCAAGCTCTGACCGCAGAGCCTTGGCTTTAACCATGTAAACACTGCTGATGTAGGGAACGTTCCAAAGCCCGCTGAAACACAGGGGTAGGAGAGTAAGACTTGAAATACCACTAAGAGAGAAACTGCTGGAGCTGACAGGATGGCAGGCAGCACTGCAGCTTCAGCCAGGCTTGCCTAAATGAGCCAACTCAGAACAGTAGGGAAAAACCATACCAATAGGGATTGTCATTCCAGGCAAAATCACTCATATTGCCCAGAGCTTTTAAGCTGCACAAATGCTAGTCCACTGTGAAAGTAATTAATTGCTACCGTGTGTTTTTGCAAGGAAAATAATGGCTTGAATCTCTTCCCAGAGAGATCAACATTTTTTTTCAGCGATTTAAAAAAAATGAACCAGCCAAAATTGCATAAGCTGATTTCCAGCATTTATTGCACATATAATGGCCTAAAAAAAAGAAGGCCTCTCACGAATATGAATGAACCATCAACTGTATTTCGTTAATCTTTCATTCAAGGATCACCTGGTATTTTATGAAGATTAACTGATAAAGATTAAACAGCACTTTACAGGATTTTAAGGATCACACTAACTGTAATCCACAGGTGGAAAAACATGACATGAATAGGATGAAGTGATTTCAGCAGAGTCCCTATAAAACCCTATAAAAAAAAAAAATCTGCCCAAAGTATGTATCACATCTGCTCAGGGGAGAACATAGAGCAGCTTCCAAATGGGAGTACAGACTTCTTTTCCTTTTCTATACACAAAGGCAGTTGTGCTCTCTAGTTCTTTGACATTAGCTAGTTTGATGATAATGTGCTGCAGCAAGCTTTACATTTGAGGGATTATATCAGTAAGAAGCTTTCTCTGCATACTCACACCCTCCGCCTTTGAACAATATCCACATAATCTTCTGAGCGGGCATAGTATCCATCAGGGCTTAGCGCTCCCCAGAAATTCGACCACAGCTTCTCATGACGGCTTACCAGTGGGGCAATCACCAGCCTGTGAGCACAAAAGAAAAAGGAATTGCAGGACAGGATGTTACCACAGAAAGAAAAAGAAAAGATTTACAAACCACAGACTCTCCCCTGATTTCCAGGGTTGCTGCTTCTGTTGGAATAGCTTAACTCTGTTGGAATAAAATTCCACATAAGAAAGGGCAAATGTGGTCACAATCTCCTCTCCAACTGCACCCTGCAGCAGGTCTCTTAAAATCCAATTTGTTCTAGTGAATATATAAAGACAAAACCTAGGGATGATTTATATCCACTGCCTAAAATCCAGAGATTACAACTACAGTTAAAAAAGACTAAATAAGAGGTGTTTGCCTAAATTTCTACCTCTGACACAATTCTCCTAGGGCCACAACTCAGTGAGGAAAGAGCTCACTCTATTCTTCATGGGAAAGATGAGCAGTAAGGATTGCTCAGACCAAAGAACTCACTTGTTCTGCTCGATCAGGATCCTTAGAGTCTCTGTGTTCTTCAGAACTATCTCAGCATCCAGGCTAAAGTAATAGTCACAGTCAGGATCCTTTCTGCACAAATCCCTATAGCCAAAGAACAAGAGAAGTCACACCAAAATCCTCCTACAACAGAGCAAGACAAGGGACAGAACACCAGGAATTCCTTCACCTTGTAGTCTAAAGGTTTTCTTCTGGGTGCTCAGAAAAGCTCAGTTTAATGTAATAGTCCAGAGGCATAGCATAATATAAGCACACCAGATTCAGTATCCAATAGCAGGCACTGAGACACAGCCAAAATCACATTTAGCAAACTGTTTCCTCAGCTCAGACTGAAGAGGTTCCCATTTATCCAGACTTGAGCTCAAATTCACACCTCCTGATCACAGAGAGGAAGATACCCTGCCACTAGCTCTTAGTTTTACTACTCCACCCCTCCTCTTCAGAGATATAGGTGCATATTCTTTGCGATCTACAACTGGCATACAGACTGCTTGATGAGGGCAGGAGGTACAGGGCTATCCTTCTAACAGAGCAAAGGACTAGGGGGAACTTTGTTTTTGAAACTGGAGAAAGGGAGCTGGTATTGAAGCTGATTTTTTTCCCAATATATAATGGACATGGGGAGTTAATTCTAGGAAAATTGAAAGAAAAGGGTTACTGAAAGAAGAGAAGCATCCACTTGACAGTGATGATCCTCAGAAAAAACAGACTGCCTTAGCTTGGACACAGGCTGACTCTGCTATGGCCTCTTCACTTACATGCCCAAGTTACGTGCCTCAGCATTCTCCACCTCATCATCTGGTCCAATCACTTTGATGGCGAGATATTCTTTGCCATGGTCTTTAACAAAAGAGTCCACCTGCATCATGTGATGTTGCTCCTACGCCAAAGGAAAAATAAGGAATAACAGATAAGATGGGCTCATCCCAGGCTGCTCAGCCTCCTGTTGTTGAAAATGCCAAGCCAGATGAACAACACCTCTTCCCACTTCCACATCTGTACAGCTGGATGGAGCTATTTTATAGGTGTCATCGCAGATAAGCACTGGGATTGCAGAGCCTGGAAGTCCAGTCAGAGGTTGCAAAGGTGCCTGAGTACAGGAGGAAGTACACATTTTCCCCGCATTTGCTAAAACCATCACGGGACAACTTTACTTACATGGTTGTGAATGAAGAGCTGGATTCGTTGCTTTGGGTAATGAAGGTTACGAAGCCGCAAGAAAAACTGGGAGAGGAACGGGGTGGGCTGCTCGATGAAAATGCCTATCAGAATCATTGGCAATGCCTCATCCTACATTCAGTGAGAAGAAGAGAGAAGGGGTGGCTCATGTACCACATCAGACACATAAGATCCTATTGTAAGACCTGAAAGCACTGAATGGACATCAGCCCTACCTTAAACCCTGTGAGGCTTCGCAGACCTTCATCACACACAGTGCAGCCAGTCTCAAATGTCCATATTTGAGGAACGTAGTTTCCCAGGTAGTTCAGCTGCAGCTGCAAAAGGCAATTTGCCACGTTACGCATTAAAGGGCAGGGGAGTTTCTTTCCATTCACCCCAGTGCAAGATCATATCTCATCAGAACTTCATTTACCTTCTTCTTGGACTAAAGAATCTGAAAAGCGTGACTGCCTGAGGGCTCAATTATACGTTCATCTATGAACGAGACCCATCTTGCTGCTATGGACATGGACCACTTACTGTTTCTCAAATATAAATGCACACAGGAGAAGTCAGTATATAGGAAGACAGTAACCTGATACACTCAAGCCTCAAGGGTCACTTTGCAACAAATACATAACAAATTTTTCTCTCAGGATGCCCACTTACCTTGGTAGGTCCATTTCCATGAATCACCACAGGAAGTGTGTCATACAACAAGTTTCTTGCTCTCACTCGTGAGTTTTCAAACTTCAGAACTACCTCATCTGGAAATGACATTCCCATCATGTTATCAGGAGAAGGCTTTTATTGATAATTAGCAGCACAATGCCTCAATTCTAGTGAACAACTGCTGAAAGATGAAAGCATGAAGGTGGATAACTATGCACAAGTTTAAGAGCTACAGACCACATCCAGAAAGGAGAAAAAAAATGTTCAAAATGATCCTGTGAGGTAGCAGGAGGATGGCTGGGCAAATACACCTTCTACTGGGAACTGGCAGAGGCCACCCACACTGAAAGTGTCTTTCAAATCTGGCATTGACAAATTGTGCAGTGAGGAAGGCTATCGATGGCCAGGGAGGACTCAAGCCCTTCTCACCTAAGCATCCTAAGTACCTGCTGTCTCTCTTTTTCACCCCTGACAAAAGTCCACCCTGCTGGCACAGATATCCAAGATGTCTCAACCCAACCACACAAAATCCTTTGGAAAACAGACTAGTACAGGCCCAAACTCCAGTCTATCACTGCTATAATGAGCACAGAAGTCAAAACTACACTGTTGTTATAATCTTTTACCTGTCTGGAATAGAGACGGAGTAGTGCAAGACTATAAACTGAAAATATTAGGCAGTAGTGTCAGGAGAGTAAGTAAATCACTTTTGCCCAGGACTAGCAAAATCAATCAATCAGTGGGTCAAGTTAGAAGCCTGGTACGGTCAGTGAGTGCTCACAGGCAATGTCTGGCTGCATCTCACCTTCTGTGGCATTCCAGACAGTTCTGAAGCAGAAAGACAGGCAAGCCCTAGGCACCTTGTGTGTTGTTACTTGCACTGAAAGTCCCTCCCAGTTTCAACCCCCAAGGCTAATGCAATCCGACATGCTTGGAGATCAAAGTGGCAAGGAGGTGTACAATGGAAAACCTGACCTGCATTCCCCCCGCTGAAGAGGGAATTGCAAGGCAAACCTGGTTGGTTGCAGTGGAAAAGCAAATAAATCCCAGCAGCGTGGCAGAGACTTTTTAGTGAAGCTTATTCTGGAGGGACAGGAATTTCTGAAATTTAATCCCTTCAGCCATAACTTTATTTCTGCTGTCAGCATGCAGTTGCATTCCAAGGAGAAATGAGCTTCCTTCTTCCATCTCACCTAATGCTCCATTTAGGTTTTGGAAGATCCGGCTTCTTTGGTCTAGACTGATGTTGATACTTTCCTTTAAAAGAATGAGATAAATAACATTAATTAGAACACAAGTGGGCATCCATTCTTTACATGTGAGAGACCCTATGCTGAGCAAAGATCTATTACATTCCTATAATAATTTCCATATTCTCCAAGCTCTAAAGCCTAGAACACTCCCAGTTAATCCTCATTTCCACTTGATCTGGGTCAATTTGTCATTTTATAAAACAATATAAACATATTATATTAGGCAAAACCATGCAAATAAACATTTTAAAGCTGCTCTGTGTGTGCCAATAATAATACGCAGCATATTAATGAAGCACACTTGCAGCAGTGTCATATAAAACCCACGTATAATATGCAGGAGTGCCAAGATAGCAAAAACATCTGCTGTGAAGAGTTTCTTGCCATCTAGCCACAGGGCAAGCGTTACCCCAAGTGTTGCCCCAGGTACCAGTGTCAAACCAGAACACAGTAAGGGTGCAATCTTTGTTTTTATCCCCTGCTGCAAATGACACTCTGAATGGATTTTTGTCAGAGTAAAACCCTGCTTTGATTTAACAGAGTTCTGTGTCCCTCCAGGCATCCGTTAAGATTGATTACTGGAAAGGACAGCAGGGTGCTAACATCCGCTGTCTAAACGCCAAGTCAGTGGAATTACTCAGCCTTTGTGTGGCACAGGGCCAGAACTGCAGATGAGAACATTAAAGGAACTGTTCATGCTAAAATATCATGGGCCATATTCAGATTCGGGGAAGTAAAAAAGTGCACAGCTGTTCTGAATTTTTTACCAGCCCTGCTGGTGAAAAAGTGCAACTCCTCCTCTAATCAGTCTGAAAGCAGTTTGTGCTTGACTTTACCATTACAGATTGACTTCTTAGTTCTGCTGCATCTGTGGTGTCCCTCAGGGACAGAGTGCACTGTGTAATACAGAACTGTGCAGGGACAACGGAAGCAGAATCACCCCGTGGGCTGGATGATTTGGCCAGCACACCACATGGTGCTGGAATCACAGTGACGCTTCCAGGGTCCTTTCCAGGCTTCTGTATGATGTTACGTGGCATGCTACATAGGCTGACACACATTTTGTCAGCCAGGATCTGGAGGTGTTTGCTGAAGGCAGTGGGAGCCCCTTTGTTCCAGCAGGGCTACCCACTGTCCTGTGGCACCACAGCAGCTAAAAGGCTGAAAGGGACCAAGGTTCACAGTCTGCTCAGGCTTCATCTGCCCCTTTACCAAAAACATGCTTTGGTGCCAAGCTGGACATCTCTAAGTCAGCACTAAGCTCTGCAGGGAAGATATAAAGTCTGGGTTTCACATCCCCTGGGAGGAGGTCGGTTAGTTCTGCCACACTCAGTAGCTTTAAACGTCAGCACATACAGATACTGGTATGAGTTTCCAGTAAGACTTGTTTTAAGACATCTATCTTCCCAGCCACATTTTAAGCTTAAAGATAAAAATGGCTAATAACAGAACAAGGAGGTAGTGACTAAAATGCAAATTTTCAGAAGGGAAATGGGTAACTAGACATACTACTGGCCTTTTCCATCTAAGGATGCCAGAGCATCAATATAATTAAAAAATTATAAAAAATTAAGCATCAATACATTTGTGATGAACTTCTTTTACTGTCAACAGGGATACTGCACAAAGGATGAACAGCAATGCTTCTCCTCCTAATAAAAAAAAATCTAGCTACACCTACTCTTTTTTCTGGATCCAAGAAGACATTTGTATAAAAGAGCTGGTCACTGTCATCGTCCTGTCCTTTCCAGTCCTCCACAAGCTTCTTCAGGTTTGGAGCATAACCTATGAATCCTGTGGGAATAAGTATGAAGAGATGTTTCAACCCAGACAACCAAAAAAGGGAAGTATTCCTGTATACACACGCTCTCATTCCTTTCACACAAAGTCTCACTCCACCCTGCGTTGCTGCAGAGATGCTCCAGCTTTCAGCAAAGGCAATTCCCAACATGGAATGACACCAGGATCAAACCTGTAATCTTCAGCTTCAGAAAAGCTCAGATACCCACACCCTGAATGACAAGTCTCACTGAAAAGGGAGAAGGGATAGGGAGCAGGTTCCTATCCTCTACAGGCAATCCATAGCTATGTCCTTCAGGTAAAAGACAGGAGCACTGTTAGTCTTTCCATTACAGCCAGTTATGCACAGGGCTTCAGTTTGCACCATCTTTTATAAAGATGCTTTCCACACCTGGTCGCTTGCTACTTCTAAGAGGTTCTCAGCTGAAAGAAGATTCTGTGTCTTACCTCCAGAACCCAGGAAGCGCTTTCCATCTCGCACCTGAGGGTACTTGGCTTCCAGCTTTCTGTCAGGATAGATGTAGTTCTCTGCTGAGAAGACCACCTTGCTCTTGGCCTGTTTGAACTTTTTCAGAAGTTCTGTGGGACCCGAAGCAAAGAGTACATCATAGCTAAAGGACAGATAAGAAAGGGACAGAAAAGAACGAAGTCAGAAAAACATGTCAGCGTGAAAAGTTTCTAGAAACAGCTAATTCTTTAGGAATCCCTTTCATTTAATTCTGCTTCACAGTATGACATTTTTTTGTCATAATTATAGCTAATTAAAGTGCAATCTTATTCATAGAGTGGAAGGTGTTACTTTTCACTGCAGAAGATTCCACACTGGCTTGGGGCAACTGACACCCGTTCTTAGTTTTACAAAGTTTTCACTGATTATAAAAACAAATCTTCCAAGCTGCAAAACCTTGCTTTTCCCCCATTTGTAACTGTGAAGCCCTGGTGTCCTCACTATTTGTAACAACTCTATTGGAGGAAGAATTACTCTGCCATTCCTTTCTAGATTAAAAAAAACCTACAGGTCATGCTTTTTACATCTTTTTGGCATCCTGCCACTCTCCACTGAGCTCTCTGCAAATCTTCAGGAGGAACTTATACTGGACATCAGTTACTGGATGATGCACTGCAGCTGCTGTCTCTTCAGTACTGGGTAGAACTGACTAATTCCCAGTCAACACTCCCAGAATAAGACCTGCATTTTCTTCAAGAGGATTTGCATACTTCAGACTCATTCCGGTGAGTAAAAAGTTGCTTATTCCAGAGATAATTCACTCCCAACTTCTCTAAACACATGTAGACACTCAGAGCTGCAAAAGATGATCTCCCTGCCATGGGAGCTAGAGGCAGATAAGAGGGATCCCAGCCCTGCCTGTTACTGGGCATATGAAAAGACACTGAGACTCCAAACCATCCTTTTCCCTCTTCACATTTCTCTGGCAGACTAATTCTTGGCTCTCAGGATTGTGTTGCAGGCTGCCTCACCTTATAAAACAAATAATTCTGGTAAGAAAGGCCTGCCTAGATCCACAGAAATTGTCTGCTCATTCTCTGCAGATAGGGGCAGCCAAATTCCACTCTGGCAGAAACAGGTATAATGCTATCAACTTTATGCAAAAGTTGGAATCAGCCTATTCTGATCAGACCTTTCCAGCTGCCACGGATGCAGCTCAGGCAACTGCAGAGAATTCAAGGATTTAAAAACAGAGGAGGTCTGGACACACCTTCCAAAAATCATTTCTTAATTAATTTCAGTTAATTTCCTCTTAGTAAGAACCTGTTCAATCACCCTTATGATTCAGTTCATGGCAAATACTTTCCAACCCTTTACCTTTCTACAAAAAGGATGATCAAGTCTTCCTTATCCGCATACTGCTTCAAAGCTGATTTCAAGAGACGGACCTTCTGCCCACCTCCTGCTGGCTTCTTGTCATCTCCACCCTTCCATTCCTCATCCAGCCCCAGCACCTAAAGAACGACAGGCACAGGGTCTACTGAACATGTCACTTGCCCAGCAAGACTCACAGGAAAGAACCAGAACCCACAACTTTACTGGTCCTGATAATTCCCTGTGCAAATCACAACCAAAAAACCAGCATCAGGACAGATGGATTAGGTATATAAGGCAGCCTTTGAACCATTCTCTGGGATGGACAGTCCAAGCAACATGTAGCACAGTAACAAAGCACTCTCAGCAACAGGGACAGGAGCACACTCTGTACTGTGTGTTCTGGCAATGCAATGGAAAAGTGCCATGGGGCTCCCCTGAGCAGGAGTTGTGGTTTTCATCTCAAGCCAACACTCAGAATGGAATAAAAGACTGCTGCAGAAATGCCCCAGTCACAGTATTTTTCAGCTAGCTGAGAAGGTGTGTCCTCTCTTTTAACTTTTATTTAAGCACTTTGTGGACAGGTCTTAACCATTTCACACTTCAAAATTCCCTCTGACCAACCACCACTGGGGCTGCTAGCCATCACCTGGACTTTGTAGTTGAAGAATCGGGCTGATCTTCTAAAGCGCTGGAATCCCTCAGTCTGCTTGGTGGCAACAGTAAGGACCAGCAGGTTTTCTGCATATAGGAGAAAGCGGAGACACAGTCAGCTTGCGTTGTTTTCAATAAACAGCTGCTCCAAACCTAACAAAGAGGCTTTACTATCAGACACTGAGCCAAGGTAGGGATCGATAGTCTTAAAGATTCTTGACAGATTTGACAAATGGAAGTCAAAATCCAACCGCTGAGAAGCGGGGTGACTTTCCTCAGTACATTCTTTAAGTTGATTATGAATCCAGCAATAGAATCCAGGAGTCCCAAATTTTGGGCAGTCAGTCACTGCTGTTCATGGACACAGGTTACATCTGTTCTATGTGACACTGACAGACGTCCAGGTTCCTTTTAAATCAGGCAAGGGAGACAGTCTACCTGTGGAGCTACCATATCCTGCTGAGAACAGAACAGCTTGCTTACACCTCTCTGCACTCTACAGTGTTAAGCAATATAGGTGTTCTCACTGCCCACAAAGCTTCAACCTCAAGAAGAAAACCTGCTTCAAATGCTACTTGTTTGCTGCCTGGATTTTCTTGGCCCCAACTCATCAAAGATTTGTAGACAGAGGAGAAGAAAGTGTGGATGTAGCCAGTGTTTTACTGGAGGAACTAACTATCACAGGGGACAGAACATGGCAAAGATGCTCTCAAATTTCAGCACTTGATTGAAGAATGCAAAACTAATTGCAGCACAAGCAAGACTGTTCCTTTGCAGTGGAGATTAGAACTTGGTCCTGGGTATAAAATGAGAGATTATGTAAAGACACAATTTAATTGCCTGAGTTATGAGCTAGAAAAAGAGAATATAATGTATTAACTGGGGGTTTTTTTTTGCCCTGCTATTACAAGCTATATTTCTCTCGCATATGAGTATGAAGGAAATTAAACTTGAAGATAAAAAATAGAACTACTACAAAATGCCCATTTGGAAGTCATCCATTTAGTGCAATTAGCTTCCTGTTCCCCACAGAGTTGCCTTTTTGTTACTCAGCATTGACTGGGTATAGGGAAGACCAAAATTAGGCTGAATGTTATTATTCACTCTCCACAGCTGCTCCAATTTTCTACTGCATTCCTGAGGTGTCTTCCAGATTTTTTCATACATACACAATGCAAATTTAATTCTGACATAACTTTCATTTACATTCTCCTTCCAAACTTTCTTTTCATTTCCAATCCCTTAAAAATGACAAAGCTAAATCCTGAAGCTCTTTTTCAGAAGTTCCTCTGTAGTACCACTAGAATAGGATTTTTATATAAAAGCTCTAGCTTCTTCATTGTGATGATTAAATGCTATACTTCATCTTACACTTCTGCTTAAGTAGGAATTTGTATAGGCTCTGGCAACAGTGTCTAAATATGAATACTGGCCATCTGATTTGAACATCAGAAAATACCAGGAAAAACTGAAAGCACATTTTCTTGGCTTGAACAGGCTTCTTTTGGAATAATGATTTTTTTTTTTCAATGGATGTACCAGATGCACCTTCCTAGGGTACCCAAACCGATATTCTCTCTTAGAGAGGACAGATCTAGGAGCCAAAGTCCTAGATAGACCTGACAAAGGCAGCAAATGTGATAAGTAAGTGTAAGACTCCAACTTAGGAAGAAAGAAAATGTTCCCAAGGAAATTCCTAAAATCCTTTACCTGCATCAGAATAAAAAGAGAGATTGAGAACAGTTAATTGAAGGTCAGTTCTAATTGTATTTTGTTAGACATTTAGACAGACAAAGGGAGTGATAAATAAAAGAACACAAATGCTGCATTTGTGCAGTTTTTAAAGGCAGATTCTTACACATATGAAGTGCATTCCTAATCCAGCCCCTCCAGCACACTCCAGGTCCCTGTGTCCTGTCCAGTCAAAGGGTACAAATAAAGAGCAAAATATGTATTTCCTCAGGGAATATGTTAAAGCCATATGTTAAAGTTCCTAGCCGCACAATGGCATGCAGAAAACCATGGTGGCTTTAGTATATAGCTCTAAGCTCATGGTTTCTCAGAGGGTGAAGATCATCCTGTCAGAGAAAAGGAGGGCAAATGTGGGCTTGCCAGAAAGGAATGTAAAGACAAACATCAAATTCTAGTACCTGAAAGACAGGAGAAAAGCATATGATAATGATAAGAGAAGGAAAGAAAGAAATGAGCCTGACTGCTCTGCAGTTATTTCAGCCTGAATTCTCAGGCATCTCACATTAAATAGACCACCAATTCATTCTCATGCCACCACCTACCTGAAGAAGGCAACAAACTGTTTATGATACGACTGCCAGAAGTCTGCTGGACAAGATGGGAGAGCTCAAGGCTCACAGGGGTGAACAGGAAGCGGTGTCCTATTTCTAAGACAGAAAAGGTTTCACTGTGCAGCGTGTGAACGCACTGGAGCATGGAAAAGCCAGCACAGAGACAATTAATCTCCCCAGCAGAATTTCAAGTTAGAGATTTCCTTCTCATTACTGGTCTGTGGGGGTAGGACTCTAAGAGGCATTAAATTCAGGTTTTTTTCTGAGAAGTCTGCAGTAGCAAGAGCTTTCCATCCCAAGAGACATTCCTTCAGTCCAGTACTAGAGGCTTGTGCTGAGCTATGCTGCCTCTGCTCCTTCTCCTTTAACCCTTTTTTCTCTTTCTCAAAGATTTTGCTGAACACTGGTGCAGCTGATGCTAGGTATTTCTAGAGACAGAGCAGTAAACCCTTTTAGTTTCAGTATCATATGCAGGCATTTTAAAACCTCCAGAAGCAGATTTATGCTTCCCTATTTTCCATGTCACAGTTACTTTCTATAGGCAGAAATCATAGCCTATTCTGTTAAGCTGGGCCTCCTGGGCCCAGAGACTCCTTGGGACATGCTGACAATTAGGCATCATATAAATACATTTAATAATCGTATGGGTGCAAAATATGAACACTGTTGTTAACGAAGCAAGCACCGGACTAGGAACGAGGAGACCTGGACCATACTGCTAGCTCTGCTATGCAGCAAGGAGTCAATCTGCCTCTGTTTTTCCATCTGTAGAATGGTAATAGAGGACATTCACCACTTTTGTGAGGGTTTTGGAGCACTACAGATGAAAAGGATCCTGTAGGGACAAAGCACTGGAACAGGGACTCTGATACCAACATCACGGTGAAATGACTGGGCAGACTTCTGAGTTTTTACAAAGTGTAAAAATCAGTGACAAGATGAGTTCAGTAACAAAAAATTTATTTACTTCTGCTCTGACTCTACAGGGAAAGCACAGCTGCAGCTGCATTTTAGGACAAGGAATGAATTTATCCCTAGGTTGTGCTTTGGGAAATCTTACTGTGCCACTTCCTGTTAAGATAGCATGTAAGAGAATACCATGAATACAGGGATCAAACAGAAAAAAAATCGGTGCAGGGTAATACAATCTCTGTAATAAATTTACATTTATGAAAATTTTCTTTTAACTAACTTTTAATTAACTACAAATAGCTATGCTTAGAGCTTTTGCACAGATCTAAAAGAACACAGGAGAGAGAAGATAGGTATCGTTATTCTCGTATTACTCTGTGGAAGCAGAGGCACAGAAAAGGTAAGGCATTTTTTCTTCGAGCCATGCCAGAAGTGACGGATTCAGAAAACAGTTAATTCTAAATCCCCCTTCCTAACCAACACACTCCATTCCTTTTTCCCAGCACTCAATTTTATATCTCTAGTGCGCTTTAACACCTTACCAAAACCATGGAAAATTGGGGGGTGTAAGGAAGGCAGGATAGCACAGAGAGATTATTTTCTTCATTTGCCTGTTATCCTAAATGCTGAAACTAATTCGATTTAGTTATGCCACTACAGCTAAAGAACTCCCAACACTCCCATGGATAAACATTAGCTGTATTATTAAGAAATATATATAGTAAAGGTAATTATACCAGAATCACGTATTGTGAAGGGAAAAATTCTAGGTAACAAGATGAAATCTCCTCTTAATTGCCACTTCTCTAATGAAGACAATTATCCAAACTTCTCTGTAGAGTGACAGTGTGAGAACCTCTTTGTCAGCCTGCAGTCGTTCTGTAGCGGCCCCAATCCTCTACTGTTCTACCAACTACTCCTCAGAGCATCTACTAACAGTTTACGCGGGGACAGAGCGATGTTGTTTGAGGAGCATCCTGGCTCTCAGGTCACTGCGTGGCCCGTCTGGGATCAAACGCTCGCTGTTACCTAATTCCTGAACTGTCTAAGTTCAGAAGCAGGAAGGGCTGACCCAGGTGGGGCGCAACCCAAGGGAGTGCGAGGACTCCACTGGGATGAAATGGTGTCCGGGGCTCTCCTCGCACCCCTCGGAGCTGCCCGTGCGGGAACTGAGGCGCTGAGGGGGCATGTGCCGAGGACCCCCGCCGGCGCGGGAG